AGAAAGCCACAGCAACAATTTTGTAGACAAGTTTTTACTTTGAATTTTGATGTATAACTGCTTTACTATATTGCAGACTCAAAAGACGGTTGAACACCGAGTATTTATAAGTGCTCTGAGGTCTCCCAAAATAGATCTGGACATATTTATCTATGATACTATAAGTGGCAAGTTTGAGAATATTTTCATGATCCACATCAGCATTAAGTGGCAAAAAAATGCCTGTTTGAAGCATCTGCACCAACACCATGAAAGCTTGTTACCAAAGTGTTCCTTGTTGCTCTAAATCAGTTGACAATTTGGCCGCTTAATTACTTAATTATCTTGATATCTTATAACCTGCCACTTTACATTCATTTCAGTAAACATACCATTAAACACCACACTCTCCATGCTTACAGCTTCCTCTGGGTCTGTGGTTCATTCCTTTCCGACGTGTATGGGTCCTGCAGTACAAGCTGGTGTATTCAGAGATAACAAAGGCTAAGTGCTATGCCCGTGGGTTGGTGTTTGGCAGAAGAGGGAAGGACATTTCCAAAAATAGTCTATAAGGAGACATGGCGCTGTGCCCTCCAGTGGCTCTGGCCTCGGGCGGCCTTCTGCTGCCATGGGGCTGCCGAAAGTGCCTGGTGGACCCTGTGCTGGTCCAGTCCCCACCGCAGACAGTCACGCCTACCGACCAGCTTCACCCCACTCTCTACCCTACGACATGGTAGGTGTCTGCAGCCTTTGGCCCCAAGAGGGTTTTGGTAGGAACAGGAAGGCTCGCCAGCCCCACAGAAGAGTCTTTTCTTCTCTAGAGGTGAAGTCAAGGTGAGAGCCCAGCCACACTGATATCAGGGACAAAATTCACCTTTAGAGTCACCAGGCCCCCTTCTCTGCATCTTTTCTTTTTCAAATATACATTTAATCATTTTAAAGTATATGGGCATTGCCAGTAGTCAGCTAGAGAGCAAGCTTGGCCTGCCCCAGGGACCTGCACTCCCCCCAGCCGCTCTCAGGTTTGCCACCTGAAACTCTCCCCTGCCAGCATCTTCCAGTGATAAGTGCACAGTGCAGGCACGGTGCAGGCAGACAAGATACGACTGTCATATAGCCATCTGATAAATGTAATAACCCTACAACATATCATTTTGCATCATTGGCTTTGACTCTTCCTCTTCATTTTATTTCATCTCCCTGAGGACTCCTAACCCTTCCAAAGGCCTCAGCAGGTTTCAAAAGAAGCATATCGCCTCCTGGAGCAATGTCACACAAGACAAGGAATGGCAAGTTGTTCTTGCATGTTATTGCAAATCAGAAACCGGAGGGAAACGCTCCCTGGTTGGACTCAAAATCTGGTCATGAAAGGAGGCAGAGCAAAACCCCGGGCTTCACAGCTGGCTGCTGCCCACCCGCCTGCAGCGGAGCAGAGCTGCTCAGGGCAGGGGAAGTTTCCCCAGGGCTCGGCTGGGTGCTGCCAGGAGCTGCTCCTGAAACAAACACTTCAAGCAGAGCTGCCCTTCCAGACCGTCTCCTTGGGTTCCAGCCGCGGTGTCATCCGGAGAAGAGGCGCGGCAGGAGAGCAGTGTGTGTGCACGGATGGGTGTCCTTCCATGAAGTCCCCTTAAAGAGCTGGCCTCCAGACTTCTTTTTAACTATGAGTTTTGTACAGAGTAAGACAACATGGATTTGTTCCCCTAAACTTTACCTTCCCATAATATGTATGTGTCAGGATGGTAATTACCAAGGCCTAAACCTTCACTCCTTAGAGAGAAGTACCTGGCTCCAAGGAACACCCACAGCTATGAATCTCAAAAGGGTGAAGGCTTCTCTCAAAGACCAATATTTGGGTGCCTAACATTGCTTTGATATTTCCCCAACTCTGAGCAATCGGACTTGACTACTCTCCTTGACAAATCCTCTTGACTATCTCAGGCAGTTTCTCACTCAGCCTGGTGGTTGTTTCTGCACTCTTTTTAGTTGGCAAACTCTCTTCCCATAGAAAGGACAACTTTGCATTGCAAAACCCCAGCTCCTTTATGAGTGAAGCCTCAAGAAAAATGAAAGAACTGAGTTGTTTGCATTCGTTTTTGTACACATTATTATAATGAAGCAGTTAACCCAGGTCATGCAGCAGAGATGTCCCTGAGACAGCCAGTATAACTGGGCTTTGGCTGATGGTCACCCCATTAATAGTCTTTTATGTTCAGCAGTGTCACTGTTTTAAAGGGCTGCATGGTCTGAGCAAAAAATTGATGCTCTTCATCTCTGACTCCAGTACAGCCAATAATCTGTGTCTACTTTAAATACCTTTTCAGTAGCTGTGTCTTGCAAATAGCTGTTAAATGATTAGGCTATTTGATTAAACGTGTCTGTTCAGCAGAGTAATCAGAACTAGGCTGATAAATACACATCATGTCACTCTGTACACAATATACCTTTTCAAGGAAATCTTACACACTGCTGTAAACTACCTATACTAACAAGGGACTTTTGGAGGCTGCTCCGGCTGTGGGTTAAATGCTTGCCCTCCCAAAATTTGTGCTGTCCAGAACTGTTATGCTGGTGAAGAGGCTCAGCTGTCTTTTGAGATGGTCTTTAAAAGGAAGAGGTGCCACTCAATCAGCAGACAGCAAATAAACATCAAGAGCAGACTTCTACACAGCATGAGGGGAGAAAGGTAGGAGGATGGGTTTTTAAAAGGATGCTTTTTCATATTTCCATTTGATTGAATTTTAAACTTTGTAATTAAATATCTAAGAGAAGTGTTCCGCTTTCTTGTTGAAAACTTCTTCAGTGTTCAGCTCATTTGGACAGTTTGCCACATGAGTTCTGATTTATTTTGGTTCCATTTCATGCAAAGCCACACGCTTGATCTCTGTTTGACCAATATTTTGGCTGGAGGTTGGAGTTTCTTCTTTCTGTTTAACTAAAAACCAATATCCCCTGAAAATAAGATTTTTTTTAATAAAAACAGTTTCCAAAGGAGATCATATTTCTTTAGGCTAAGCAGTTTCTCCGTCAGAGAACAATAGGGAAGTTATTAATCTTTTAAGTAGAAAACTAAAGATAGTACTTTATTGTCTTTGGCTGTTTTTGTAGCCTGTTTTACCATATTTTTTTAATTTATTTACACATAAACCAAATGAAAATCAAAATCTATATGACACATTTATAAACTGAATGTGTTTAAAACTTTTATAATTCTGTCCAGTATATACAGTTTGATTGGTGTTTAATTCTTTCTGCTGTGAAAATTGAAAATTTGGGTTAATAAAGATCCCGCTGACTGTGCATTCTCTATCTCAGGTGCAAATATGCCGAAAGAAGGAATGATAGGCAGGAAACAAAATATGAAGAGACAGACCAAAAGTGAAGGAAAAAATACATGAAGTGATAGTTAAAGTGAGGTCAAAAAGATGGTGTTAAACATTAGTAGGCAGAAAAAAGGGGAAGCAAGAGGCTCCCTAAAGAGTAAATAAATATATATACTTGGATTCCACATGTCCTTGTTTTTCTGAGAGTAGCTCTGGCTGCACCTTGTTGCTGGCACTCGGGTGCCACTGCTTGGAATTACTTGAAAATCCCTCCGTATAACACAGGCTGTTAATGGTAGCTGCCAGGGTTTTGCAAGCTATAGTTTATCACCCATGTTCAGCTTCCATTTAGCCCCTCATGGCATGGTGTGCTTGTAACAGCACTGGTTTGATATGGGAAAAACTTAATTATTCTATGTGTTTTATCGAGAATAACCAGAGGCAGCAAAGTCCTAAAGCAAATGGGTTAAATTCATACTGGCTGAATTGCCATGTCAGTATTTTTCTGACTTAAAAAAACACATTATATCATAACGATAATGCTAGTGAATAGCATATGCCAATGTTCTTTTTTTGCACAATAAGAATATTTTTCTGTTAATTAAAGAAAAAGCAGAGCTTTCAACCAAGAATATTGCTTGCCAAGTGCATATGTACTTTCATTAAGTGCTTTCATAAAAAGAGAGACTTGCAAAAGAGACACGCTACTGCAAACACAAGAGAAGGACAGCGATATTTGCGTCCTCAGATGCAGACTGAACCACTGTCCAGAAAATGTTTCTCTCCGTGTTTGTGCCCTGGCTAAAAATAGTATTAACATAATAAATACACATAACAATGCAAAACTATTAGCACTGGAATAAACTGGACCTGACAGAAATGATATTTGCTTATACAGCAACTAGTGCTTCAGATTAGTCAGGCTCTTCCATTATATTTTGGTAGCGAAAGGGCAGGAAAGTTTTTTCTCCTCTTAGATCTTTTCCTTACATCTTTATTTACAGCTAGAGCCTACAAGAAGTTTGCAGTAAGACGGGATCTGGTGAGGCAGTGTCACCTGCCTGAAAACAGAGGGCTTATGGAAACTTCTGTGTTTTGCCAGGCTGCACAGAGGATTCAGTTATTGCTACCAGGACAGGGCTGGAGGAGAGGCTGAGCGTGGCCTCCTCAGATTTAGCTTTCTGTTTTAGACTTGTAAATCTCAGACTTCTGTATTAAAAAATAAGTTGAGGGAGTTTCAGAATCTAAAATTACTGATTTTCAAGAGCAAAGTGAGAGACACAGGACTCCAACCAATTTCGATGAAGACTAGGACTGTTTAAACAGAAAATAATGAAAAGGACTTCTCATCCACTCACTAGACAAGACATCACCCAGTGTGGGCCTCTGGAAGCCACTGTTCTTTTGATGTGAGGACATCCCATTGCAGTTCATTTCATCAAATGAGGTTCCCATTTCAAAGGAAGTGTAATAATAAAAGTGTAATTCTGTTAGAAGTATAATTACAAAATAGCTTCATCTCTCAGAAATAATGAAATGTGAATTTCCTATGCATCCACATATGTGCAGGTGTTTACCTTTTTTTCCCTCCTTGCAGCTCTCCCCATATAGAAAAGCAAGAAACAGCTGTAAATGTATCTCAACACTAGGAAAAACAGTACCTGTGCTGCACTCCTACATGGATTTGAGACCTCAGAAAGGATGCAATTGTGCTGTGAACCCGTAAATGGCTCTTGCATAAGGAGCAGCTGGTCAACCAGTATCCGTTTTTCCATGTATATCTTCATGGTCTGCATTATTCTGGCCACACTGGTTGGAAATTTGATGGTTATCATCTCAATATCACATTTCAAGCAGCTCCATACGCCTACTAATTTCTTGATACTTTCCATGGCTACAGTAGACTTTCTGCTGGGATTCCTTGTCATGCCTTGCAGCATGGTGCGCTCTGTTGAGCACTGCTGGTATTTTGGGGAGCTCCTCTGCAAGATCCATACGAGCACAGACATTATGCTGAGCACAGCTTCCATCTTCCATCTTTCCTTCATAGCCATCGACCGTTATTATGCTGTGTGTGACCCTCTAAGATACAAATCAAAGATAAATACTTTTGTTGTCCTGGTCATGATATTTGTAAGTTGGATGGTCCCTGCTGCTTTTGCTTTTGGGATGATCTTTCTAGACCTAAACTTGCGAGGGGCAGAAGAGATATATAATCATGTCCAATGTGCAGGAGGATGCTTTGTCATTTTTAGTGAAATTTCAGGTGTTGTGGCCTCCACAGTCTCTTTTTACATCCCTGGATTTATTATGCTATACATCTATAAGAAAATATACTTTATAGCCAAGAGGCAGGCAAGAGCCATTGATGCAATTACCCAAAAAAAGATGCAATTTGAAATGAAGCACCACATCTCATTCTGCAGAGAAAGGAAAGCTGCCAAGACATTAGGCATAATAATGGGAGTATTTCTTATCTGCTGGAGTCCATTCTTCTTCTTTACAGCAATCAATCCATTCATGAATTATGTGATACCTCCTATTCTCATAGATGCTTTGGTTTGGTTTGGTTATTTAAATTCTACACTTAACCCAATTGTTTATTCATTTTTTTACACGTGGTGTCAGAGTAACATGCTTTAAATGATTGGACTCATGGCTTTGAATTTTTGCCTAGAGGCTGAACACACGGATATAAGAGCTGAAAATGAAGGAAACACCTACTTGTTTACTTGTTTACCAAATCTGGTTCAAGCAGATAAGCAACTATTGCACTTTATGTCTTCTTTCATTCCAGATTGGGATTTGTATGCGGTGTTTTGGTTATACCTATTTATAAGCAATGCACAGAAGAGCAAGACTTTTAAGTTTAAAAAAACTTACAGCAGTTTATATCCCTACTCTTAATCATTAAGAAATTATTCTGATACAATATTAAATTCTTGAACAAGGTGTGTTTATATTACAATATTTGTGTTTATTTATTGTCTTCTAGAAAAAGCAGAAAAGCCTTTCCTTTTGAATTTCTAGACATCTTGAGTAATAACCCAAAGCTCTCATGTTTTTTCCCTGTCAGTATGTGTGCAGAGGTCAAAACAGGCCCATAACCAGCCATATCATCACGCTCCATAGAAGGAAGATGGGACAAAGAAAAGTCATGCTGCTCCTTCTCTTTCCATATCAACTAGTGCTTGTCACTTTTCAGTTTGTCACTTAAACACTTTGCTGCTTAGTGAGATAAAAAAGCATGCTTAACTAGATAAAGGATAAGGAAAAATGCAATGTATGAAATGAAAAATTAACCTGACAATGCGAGAAAATTATGCTTGTCTAATGAATGTTTCAATGTAAGATATTCATCAATTTGCATCTTACAGAACTTTTTTTAGCTTGGATACGTTGTTATTTTGTCTGATGCCATTGCTGTGACAGCTGATGAGGAAAGCATATAGAGAGTTGCTACAGAAATGCTATCATTGGCCTGAATGGAAGGTGAACGGGGCAGGTTGGATGTGGAAGCACCAGGAGGAGTGGCAGAAGAAGAGCTATAAGAATCACCTGGGATGACAGCACCTGGGTGAGCAGGCTGTCAGGGTTACACCTATGGGCAGATGCCTGAAGGACAGGTAGGAAAGTCAAAAACTAGCATGGGATCACCAGCTGAAGATGACCCACAGTCTGTCATTTTTTTAATCTGTGAACTGGCTTTTCTAGAACTAACATATCACCAAACAGAAGGAAATAATACCTTTAGCCTGATCCTGTGACATCTGGCTGGACTATGAAGGACCAGTCCTGGGAATGGACAGAAAAGGATTAGTACCTGAGAAGAGACTATGGAGAGAAATTGACGATTCTGTACGGAAGAGCTGTGCTCAGCAGTAAATGGTGTCATCCACTCATGTTGCTGGGACAAGAGCATACTGTATGTGTATCTCATCTTTCTCTTCTGTGCTCTGTAGAGCACTGAAGCTCTCTGTGATGTAAAGCATAAAAGTTGAATGATGTTATATTTCAGCAGAGCAAAATATCAGGATCCGAGATTGTCTCTTTTACTGTTTCATAGCCATCTTGTAAGTTTGCACTCTTCAAAATGACATAAGAAGGAACAATGAAATATATACACCACATGGGCATTAATCTTTGTTAGTGACAATATGACTACTTCGTACTTTATCTCACAGAAATAAAGTTAAGATAAAAAAACCCCTATCTTTTTAATAAATGAATGGTTAATTTTCTTCTGCCTTCATCCCCAGTGAAGTTGGCCTGATGTAGCTCATTTTTTCGTGCTCAGTGTTACCTTCTGAAATGAACTGCATGATCACTTGGACATCTTGACCTGTCTTGAAATAGCAGTTTCAGAAGTGCTACAAGCTGGGGGTATTCTTTTGTAAGGCTTTTTAAGTATATTTAGTAAGTTCAGCACATATTAACATAGACCCTTCAGGAAGTCAATGGCGAACTTGTTTCTTTCCCCTCATCCGCTGTTTATCTCCCCGAAAACCTGGAAACATTACTGTGTTTCCAGAGAATTTCAGCTCTACCAGAGTACACAACTGGTCAGTCTCTCTTCATAACTTGTTCTGGCATCTTTCTGGCATTATTTTCTTGTTGCAGGAGGAGTTTGTGAGTGAATATGATCCCATCTTTCTTGCAGGATAACCTCTAGTTCAAATAGAGTACACGCCTCAGTAATCTGTGTCTAGACCCCAATGCAAAGCTAATCCACTTCAAACCATAAAAAACAGGCCCACACTCCTGAAGGCTGATAGCCATCTAATCTAAATTTAGCCATCTAAAGGTCAGGCACTACATCTGCTCTAGTCATTAGTAGCTGTCTTCATACTCACTGCAGAAAAACCACCTCCTTCACAGGGTGTTTTATCTCACCAGGTTATCCATTTTTAGGTAAGATGAATTGTTGCTGCAGATATTCTTTCTCTTACTATCAAGAGTAACCTTCCAGTCTCTAGAACAGATGTTCTGATGGTTTTAGATATAATTTTTAGGTAGATAACATGAGGATCACCCAGCACAGGTGAATCTCACGCTATGGAAAAGTTGGGATGATCCTGGAACTCCAAAAATGCTTCCATCAAAGGCCAGTTTTCTGGAACTAGCAGTTAGACGTCTTTTCAGGACCAACTCTTGACTAGCAAGAGCCTTGAAACGAGATTTTGGGTCTACACAGCAATCCATGGAGCTGCTACTGAAGATTTGGCTCAATAGCTGGCAGCTCGAAGAGGGTGGTGGGACGGTGGATGCAGATCCTTATACCCTGCCCTGGAGTACATCAGGATGGAAGCAGGTCAAAAATTGTCAGCAGCCAGTAGGTCATCTTGAGGAGATGACCTGCCAGGGAGTACAGATTGGGGAGGCCTTGAATTAGGGAAGGCTTAACCATCCCACATGTGTTGTACAGAAGTTTGGAGGGTGTTGTGGTTTAACCCCGGTAGGAAGCTCAGCTCCACATAGCCACTCATTCACTACCCTGCAGTGGGGCAGGAGGGAGAATTGGAAGGTTAGAAGTGAGAAAACTCTTGGGTTGAGATAAAAACAGTTCAATAGGTAAACCAAAAGCTGTGTGTGCCAGCAAAGCAAAATAAGGAATTCATTCAGTACTTCTCACCAGCAGGCAGTTCAGCCATCTCCAGGAAAGCAGGGCTGCATCACATGTAACGGTTACTTGGGAGGACAAATGTCATAACTCCAACTGTCCCCTCCTTGCTTCTTCTTTCCTCAAGGTTTTATTGCTGAGCACAATGCCATATGGTGTGGGGTATCCCCTTGGTCAGCTGGGGGTTAGCTGTCCTGTCTGTGCCCTCTCCCAGCTTCTTGTGCATCCTCAGCCTACTCACAGAGAAGGCCCTGAGGCTGTGCAAGCGCTGCTCAGCAACAGCTAAACCAGGGGGGTGTTATCAACACTGTTTTCATCGCAAATCCAAAACACAGCATCATACAAGCTGCTATGAAGAAAATAAACCCTATGTCAGCCAAAGCCTGTGGAGAGGGCATCCAGACATTGTGGCTGCACAAGATCACCACAGTCTGTTTAGTGTAAATGCAAATAGTAGAAGAATAAATTTTCAGTGTATAGACCAACAACCCTCCTGCAATCTAGTCTAGCCACAATGTCACCAATATTTATTCTTTGCAGAAGTAACAACGGGCTTCCATATACAGACCACTGGTGACCTTGATCTACACCTAGAAGGCAGTTCTCCTTGTTCTTAATAAGACAGAAGTATAAGTCAACTTTGTGCACAGCCCAGCTCAGAAAGTTTCAGAAATAATTTCTTCCTCTGGTGTCCTATTATCTAAAAGTGGCACTTTCCCAAAGAGCCTCCTTGCCTTCTGTTTACAGAGTGTCTTATCAGGGAGACCAACTTTAATGAAGTCCCAGGCTACTTTCACTCATCATCTGCAATCACAGGCAGCACAAAGGTATTTCTCACTGTGAAGGGAAGGTACAAACGAGATGTGCTAATGAGGCCACAGGGTCTCGATTTGAACCCAAGACTCTGATAAATTAGGAGAGCACAAGAAAAATGGCTCAGCTGTTGTCCAATCAGATTATGAGTTAGGCCTGGTGAAGCAGAATGTACCTGACTGCAATCTTAAAGTGTCATCACGTAAATGAAGTGCAAAGGGTATTGTTAAATTCTTTATCAACACATTTAATTAGTGGCCTTATTAAACACTTCCCAGATGGCTACCTTTTTCAAAACAAATCAGTCTCCTGTGGGTGATTTTGTATATTTTAACTTCCCTGAAAACTTGTGCAAAACAATTACTCCAGCATGATGAAAGGATCTGTTTCACCGGTAAACCTATGTCTGTTCCTTTTGCCACCAGTGAGCACAGTTTGCAGTGGTACCTTCCCCTCACCCTTTGTACAAAATTGACGGTGACTTCCAGAGTCACGGACTGCCGCCTGTCCCCTCTGCCTTGGTGCCTGTAGCTCCGGTTTCGGTGGTTGCGACACGGTGCCGCAGCCTGTGGGCTGTGCCACCGGCTGTGGCCCCATGCACAGTGATCCCACCTGCGGCCAAGTCTCGCGGTCTGCCCCTCAGCCACCAGATGTAGCAGGACAGCGGAAGGCGAGTACCGACTGTCCAGGCAGGACACTTCTAGAAGCCTCACAAGGAAGCCTTGCTCCAAAGCGGAAATTTTAAATGACTAGATTAAAAAAAATACATTAGTGCAGTGTTCAAACAGAAAAATGGAGCTCTCAAGCTGTGTATATAGTGTAAAGCGTACGACTTTCCTTAAATCATTAACTCATGCTAGGTTGTGCATGCTGTGCACTCTTGTCTCTACAATGCGTTAACGCCCATTCAGCAAGAAGAAAATACTAGATACAGTCAAACATAAGATATTTAGTGTTCTACAAAAGTTTTTTACTCTGTAGTTTTTCTGATCATCTTAGTTATCTACACTACTTCCTCACCACTGCATCTAAAGACATAATCCAGAAAAAGACTATGCCTATATGTAAGCACTTTCTGGACAGTCTGCTTCCATTAGGCATAGCCTAGATTTTATAAACTTCTATGATGAAATGACTGGCCAGGTAGATGAGGGAAGAGCAGTAGTTATTGTCTGCCTAGACTTCAGTATGACATTTGGCACTGTCTCCCATAAGATCTTCATAGCGAAGGTAATGAAGTATGGACTGGATGAGCAGACAGTGAAGCAGATTCAAAACCAGCTAATCCACCAGGCTGAGACGGTGGAGCTCATTGGCACAAACGAACACCATTTGGAGGCCAGCAACTAGTGGTGTACCCCAGGGGTTAATGCTGGGTCCAATCCTGTTCAGCATCTTCATTAATGATCTGGATGATGGGACAGAGTCTACCCTTCCAACCTCAAACATTCTGTGATTCTATGGGTTTTAATTCCCATAATATTTACTGAGTCTTGCATAATGTTGTGTAGTCTTGCATAACCAGAATTTTCCAACTAAATTTAATTTCCTAATTTATAGGTTTTGTAGTAAGATCTTTTCACCTTCATGCTGCCACTTTAAATCCAACTTACTGCATGGGTAATCAAAAATGTTTCTGTGTGACGAGTATGCAATAGCCTTTGTAAAACAAATTCATTTCCTACGAAGCCAGATCCACAGGCAACTTAGGCAGTGGGAACTCTACAACCCACTCCTAGGTGTCTCTACTTCTTATTTCCCATAGGTATAGGAAAGGTTGATCTCCTTAAACACTGAGTACTCAAAACATGCTAAAGATATCTGTCAGTTAAAGAGAGATCACTGAAAACAGACTGCATCCTATACCCTTTGGACTTTCTCAGTTGCCAACAGGAGAACACAATTATTTGAGAAAATTTGAGCTTGTCTTTTGCTCCCTAATGCTGTGATTTCTGCTTTACAAAAGCCAGTCCAGAGGAATAAGAGTGGTTAGTAACAAGTAACTAAATAGTTCTTGCCAATCATTAAGAACAACAAGAAAATGATGAGGTACAACATGAAGGAAATTCATAGGCTGTAATAAAACTAAACTGGTTTACCAGTGAAAATAATGACTACAACAATTTTCTCTCCACGCTGCCTTTGCAGTACAACAGTGTCTCGTATGGCTAATTCTCGAAGACATTTTCTAAGGTCCTTTCTGTAGTCTTGCTTTAACCCAGTTAAACAGTTTCTTTTATAAAGGTTTCTGTTCTGTTCTGTGTCAAACTGTTCCCCCATCACTGTCTTCTGTCCCATACTGAAAGGAGGATGAAAGGTGAGGCACATGGGTCACTGCTTTTTAAAGGTAATGCTTTTTCAGTTGTAGCCTCTTTCCACAGATCTTTTTTTTTTAATCCAATATAATTGCGTCTTCATAGATTTCTGCACAGATTTAAGTTTTAGTAACTTCTTTTAATAAAGGGTCACTTGGTGAGTCTTGCATATCTCTCATTTTATTACTTAAAGATAAAGTTACTAGACATGCCTGTCTCAAAAATACTGACAGATCTCAAAGATAAAATATTTCTGCTGTACACACTGACAAAATATTGTTATTTTTTGAGTCTGCAAATTATTCTATTGTAGATAATCCCAGAGATTTGCATTTTATTTCCAACAGAAACTTTCCTTATTTGTCTTTAAGGCAGCTGCCATAAAGGTAGACTCCTTTAAATGTTCTTAGTTTTCCCTTAATTAATTTTAAAACCCATGTTTATTTTCTGCCCTGTTCTTACGATGTACCATATATCACATTCAATAAAAATCCAGTCTCTGCTGAATAGAAGTCATTTGCCCTTGGTTTGTAATGCATCTTCAATAAGCCTTCGTAAGGGTCAGCATGAAGTCCACATGTTCGCCTCTGCTCACAGGGGACTCCACTAGTTCACATTAATAGTGAATTAATTTTGTCTTTTCTTGTAACAAAGTAAATACTACCTTTCCTATTTTTTATTTCTTTATAAATAATAGATTGCCCAGTAACAGATGATGGATTGACCTCAGTTAACACTTCTTTTTATCCATTTCCGTAACACACAGGAAAAACTTTTTTGTATGTTATGTTGAAGCTGCAGATACAGCCAGCATGAGAGAAAGTGCTGTTGTAGCCCATTAAATTAGAAGATGGTAATCTTCAAGCTTATTAAATATTAGATTTCTAAGTTCCATTAGAATGGTAATTATTAAAAAATATGAAAGAATATATTAGCCACTAAAATAGATGAAAACCAGAACATCTTTCTTTCACCTGTACTTTTAGCGTCTCCTTTCAAAGATTCATTTTGATATGACTTGTATCTACCTTAAATGACCAAAATAGCTCCCCTGTACATGAGGGTAAATGAATTAACAGAGCAAACAAAAATAATGATCTTGGGAATACAGGCACTTGGCTTTGTTCATCTCCTGTTGATGTAAAACCCTAAATTATACGTATATTTTTAACTCAAAATCTCCTGGGACTTAAATATAATGTCATAAAAGAAAAATAAATTCCTGCCTTTCATTAATCTGAGCCAAGTTACAAAGGGACCCTGTCTTTTACAGACAGTGCAATTTTGCAGGACAGTAACAAAACAGGAAAATGTCTACTCAAAGAATCTACTGGTGGCATTACTAAAACAGATGCAGGTAGGGTTAGCTTATAAAACTGACTTCCAAGGATTCTTTTTAATCTTTTGATGTTCTGTTTCTGTATTTTCTTCATTTCAGGGTGATACATATTGGAAAAAGTCAGTGGACTGAGCTGCTTCCGAAGTTCCCTTTAAGTGTGTTAAATTGCTGTGGAGAAGAGTATCTCTCTGCTTCTATTTCTAAATTTGTTCACAGTCCAGGACAAGTTATCAGGAAAAGAGGTGGAAGAAATGGGTCTGATTCTTCTCAGAGAAATTAAGGGAATTTCTTGACCCGTGAAGATATTGACGAGGGTATTCATTTATAACTACTGCAGCTGGACCACAGTCTATTACAGGAGACAAGATTCAATCTATCTCCACTCCCTTTCAGCTGGTGGAATCATAATGACAGAAATCAAGTGTATATGTAGTGAAAGAAAAGACTATTTCTTATCATACCAATTTTACAACTGATTTCCATCAGATGTGTTCATTGTTAGTACTTCAAAATCCACAGAAGGTGAGTTTAGGATCATAAATGATTTGGAAAAGGGGATTTTGGCAGCTGATTTGTGACTGAAGACGAGCATTTAGGAGAATAGCTCATTAACTGAAATCTCCCAGAAAGCTGAGATATGTCAGCTTCCGTAACTTCTCTCCTATAGAAAAAGGTCAACATTCTAGATTGAAGAGGCAAATAAATCCTATATAGTATTTATAGACTGAAGTGACTTGAGAGATTTCTTTGTCTGTGAATCTTTTTCTTCTAACTCTTTGAAAATACTAATATTCTGATGTATATAAAAGAACTGTATTTTAATAAATGCTCCAGATACAATAGAATGCACAAAATAAAATTGATGTTAGAATTATATTTAGTTAATTTAAGAGGTGATTAAGTTTACTTTCAACTGCTTTGTTTTAGATGTTACGTGCAATGCATTTTATAATAGCTTCCAGTTATCAGATTTCCTGTACTATTCCCCCCGAAAAAATGGGTAGTGGTTGTTCCCTATTAAAGCTAAGAGAAAAATTGCCTCTGAATTGCTGCATTTCACTCAGTAATTGAATTCATGCTCTTGTCTTACTTTATCTTGTATTCTTATGTTAGGATTGGGAATCTTTTAGAAACTTGTGAAAATTAAATCTGCCTGTGGAACTGCATCTCCAACAGAAAAACCTAAAAAAGGACTGATTATGCTTTCTCCAAATATCTCGAGGGATTTGACTGATTGCTCGAAGTTTGGAAATAGATCCTGTCCTGAGAGCTTTAGGTCACCAGGAGTACGAGGGGTAATGTATCTGTTCATAACCGCAGCCTTCACTCTCACCGTCCTAGGGAATCTGGGCATAATCATTTCCATCTCATATTTCAAGCAGCTTCATTCTCCGACCAATTTCCTCATCCTGTCCATGGCCGTCACGGATTTCCTGCTGGGCTTTGCCATTATGCCCTACAGCATGGTGAGGTCTGTGGAGAACTGCTGGTATTTTGGGATGACATTCTGCAAAGTTCATTACAGTTTCGATCTGATGCTCTGCTTAGTTTCCATTTTCCATCTTTGTTCCATTGCCATGGATCGGTTTTACGCAATCTGCCACCCTCTGCATTACTCCAGCACCATGACTGTCGCGGCCATAAAACAAATCATAGCCATCTGCTGGTCACTGCCCGCTGCTTTTGCCTTTGGTGTGGTTTTCTCGGAAGCTTACGCTTCTGGAATTGAGGGCTATGAAATGCTGGTTAAATGCTCGAGCTTGTGCCCCATTGCATTCAACAAACTGTGGGGAGCTGTTTTATTTATATTTGGTCTGTTTGCTCCTGCTTGCATTATGATAGGGATTTATGTTAAAATTTTTACAGTCTCCCGAAGGCACACATGTGAGTTGAACCAGGCACACAGGCACATGAAAAGTAATAAGAAAAAAGATCTTTCTCAGAATAAAGATAGGAAAGCTGCCAAGACTTTGAGTATAGTTATGCTGGGTTTCTTAATATGCTGGTTTCCTTGTTTTTTGGCAATCTTAATTGATCCATTTTTAAATTTCTCTATTCCTTTACCTTTATTTGATGCTCTAAACTGGCTTGGGTATTTAAATTCTTTCTGCAATCCATTAATATATGGCTTTTTCTATCCATGGTTCCGGAAAACATTTCAATATATTTTAAAAGGCAAAATTTTTAACCCACATTTTCGTACAATAAAACTTTTATCTGATGACCAGTCACAGTAATAGATTCTGCTACTGACAGCAGCTCTAGAAATATAGAATAAACAGTGGATTGCGTGAATTTTGTGAATCCGAACTGCAGAATTATCTCATCAAATATTTCTTTAATAAAATCAGACTCATTTTATGTGATGTTTATTTACCAGCTGTATTCACTCTTAATGCCTTGATAGTGTTTCAGAATTTTAAGTCTTCCTAGTGTCTCCTAATGCATTGGAGTTTTTTTTAACTTCAGAATGTATTTACATACAGTGCATAAACTCAGTATTCCACCTTATCTTGTAATTATGTAGCTAATCTTTCTTGAGGTTCACCATCAATAATCTCTTAAACTGAATACATCCCAGGCTAACAGTGACAGTCTTTGTCACCCTTTTGTGAGTGGGACATTAGCAGAAGCATAGTGTCTGCTGTTATTCCCAAGCAAATAGAATTTGAGTATAATTTTGGCTTGAAGTCTATCTTTTCCCCCAAAAACAGTAGAATTGGGTTTTCAGCCCTTGTCCTCCATGTGCTTTGTGTTTGGGGACGACCACTTGGGAGCGAGGGTACTGCTCACACTCAGGTATCTGCTTGTCCTTTCTTTGTTTAGCCATCAGGCACCAGATGTTATAAAATGTGGTTGCTGACAGCCCACCCCATATTCACCCCACCCCACCTTCACACTGAACTGGAGCCTTTGACTGAGGTCCTTGCCATCCTGGGCTCCCTCTCATGCGAGTGAGAGTCACTGCCAGAGCTCATGTCAGTTACATGCTTAAAACAAGGTTGGCTGAGTTGTTGTTACTGAACGCAGCTACTGCAGTCTTTTTATTGTGAGTTGTACCTCCGACTTACCTTTCACAGTATGCATATGGTGTGAACTCTACCTTTAGTGAAATCTGACTATGAAAAATCTACCCACATGTTTATTCACTGCTTGGCTTGTCAATTCTATGTTAGTATGGCATGCCAGTGAGTGCTGCTCATTTGCTTTGCTGAAAACTTTTTAATGGATCTATGATAACATGTACACGTTCTACTTTGGATCTGGAGAGTCCAAATTTCACCCCAACCCTGAAACACTTGAGACAGCAAGGAGCTGGAAGGTCACAGACTTGTCTGGAGTGGTGTATAAGGCTCTCACCTTTCGTAACAAGAAACATAAAACCCAGGCTCTCTAAGCTGGTGTAAATACTCTCTCTGTGCACAATTGCCACTAGCTGAACAACCAGAGCAGGGAACAGAGCAAGGCTGGATTCAATAAAGACTTTAGGCACCTAGAAGTTGGATAATACATTGTCCCATATCATTGCTCAGTGCAAGCCCAGGGAGACCACTGGATTAAAAACGAGGGCAGCAGGAACGGTGCTCAGGGAGAGCGCAAAAACTGAGCTCTGTGCCAGGTGCTGGGGGACGTGGCGGAGACCGTGTCGCAGCCAGCTGTGCCAGGTCGTGTCTGCATGCGGCTCGGTGAGGCTTCTTCAGAGAAACTTGTGTGCAGTCAGATCTGTCTTTCTGTTAAAACTAGTCCGTGAAGGGTTTTTATTGAAAGGTAACAAATGCTAAATGTCTCCGACATCCTGCCAGCAGTGAAACCATCAGTCAGATGATGGGCCACAAAAAATTAGATATAATGCTAGACTTGGAGGCAATTACACATCCTTCTTAAGTGTCTTCACAACATTTGCTGGCAGCAGTATTTGCCACTGTATTCAACTACTTTGCAGAGTAAGTTTAAATTCCTTCTGGCAGTTACACAAGAGCATGTTAAGTTAATGTCAGGTGTCTAATTAAGTCTCTAAGTCTACATTTAAGCATTTCTGAAAATTCTTCTATGCATTAAATGTCTATCTGGTGACACATGATGCAACTGGAAACATTTTAAGCAATGATTAAATTACTCCACTAACATACAGCATAAATAATTCAGAGTCAGCCCAATACATTACATCTCCTACAAAGACAATATTTCTTCCATACTCCAGATCCTCAGGGAACAATTTTGAGGTATCTGTGAGGCTTCAGTGTGTCATATCATTGTGTATGTCCAGTGTATGCCCTTGGATGTTAAAGGAGTATCTACTAAGTCAGTCTTGCTACCCAACTTGCAGCCTGCAGCTAGATCTTCTTCAGTAGTTCTTCTGGCCAAGGGAACTCGCAAATCTGCCAGATGGTGGGATTTGCTTCCTGAATGACTTTGTGGCATGCCATGCTGTTCCACCTGCTGTTAAACTTGATGCTGGTGCTAAACCTAGTGCTAAACAAAGCACTTCTTTGAAAAAAACCTAGGGCATCAGAGTAACAGGGTTTTTTTGTGGACCACACCTGCTGGTGCATAGGAGAACCTGAATATCTGTGGGTTCTGCTATAACATATTAACTACATTCAGTTCAATGGGGTACATCATTTATGTTCAGATGCAAGTACTGCAGATGTCTTAATTTCCTCCTCTCCTTAAATATCATGGTAAGTTATTTAGTATAATTTTTTCTGAAACGCATACTTACCCATTAATCTGTTTTTCCAAACTACATAGTGAACAGCTTTAGCATGAATTCTGCTCTGTATCTCACCCAGACCATCTTCTCCTAAGAGCAGCAGCCAGAAGGTTTAGGACTTCTATCTTTTTTACTGTGAATGATTCCAGCAAGGGCTAATATTGCCCTCGGAGGTTATATTTCCCTGGATTCAGGAGGGAGTTCAAGCTCCCACTTCCAGGTGGGCATTTCAGTCTGAGAGCACCCCCGTGGTCCTCTTCCTCTCTGGTACATCACAGTTTGAACATACAGGACAGCAAGACACGCTTAAGAGCATCCCAGCCAGCTCATCCACACTCAGCCTCTCTCTTGCAACGCCTCTAACAGTAACATTTAGCTGTCTTCAAAGCCAGTGATTTTTATGCAAACAATTGCTATATTTTTATTCTTAAAAGGTTTGTGGTCGGAATAGTTTACTCTTAATTTTTTCGCTTTTCAGAATCACAGAATCACAGAATGGTAGGGGTTGGAAGGGATCTCTGTGGGTCATCTAGTCCAACCCGATCTTTTGATCTCTCTTCTGTCTCAGCCTAAACTACGAGAAAGGATTCCCTACCCCCTTGTGGAGCCAACAGGCAAAGGCAGCTTTAAAGAAAAAAGTCGACATCCACTACTAAGACAGCAGAAAGAAAAAAAAAAGTTAAATCCTGGCTTGCAAAAACATCCGCTGAAAACTTTCTGAGAAATAGATCGCTTTCTTTTTGCAAACTCTGTACTGATTTTTATTTTATACCCTAATACTGCAGGGCACTTAACAAATGTTCAGCATGAAGTCATTGATATAACTGTGGTTCTGAAGGCAGGCATGTTCTGGAGGTGAAGAAAGTGAGCAATAACATAAAACATCCAAATGGCAATCTTCTGGAGACACTGCAGTAACATTTCCAGAATAAATTCTTGGAGATTTAGACTGAAGGTTTTGGTTTACAGGCATTAATTTTTCTGTTCAAAATGAAAAATGCCAAAGAAGTCAGATAAGTTCAGGTAAATTAATGCCTAATAGTCAGCATCCAATTTTCAGTTAGAACATCTTTTTGGCAAAAAAAACCCCAAACCATTTTAATCAGTTTTAGTGAAAATTATGTAAATGAAAGTAACTGTTGCAAGCAACTCCTGACAAAAGGGCATATACAGCTGTAACTGTAATATATCAGAATAATTTATGTGTTCTTCTGTTACACAGCCTAATAAAATCATCATCCCACTGGATCAGTTCTGTGTCAGTTTTCATGGCTGCAGAAGCAACAAAGCATCGATGAAGCATTACAGAGACAACTGACATAGAAAAGGATGTGCAGTTTCTCGAGAGACAGCCATGAGTCTTTTTAGCTATATATAAACCAAGAACATTCTACATTTTCTTGTAAGAAAAGGGGAGTGTTTCCCATTGTATTTTTAATTACAGATTTCCACCAAAATGCAGGATGGAGAAAATCCAAAGCAGCTTTGGATTTTCGTGTTGGAAAAGGATATTTAAACACAAAATGAAAATCTGGCAGTGCTCTGGCGTGTAGATGGGAGCAAGATGGCGAGGCAGGGGAAGGGACCCCTCTAAGGCAGGAGGGGGGAGGAAAATGGGCAGATATTTCTCTGACTCTGGTGGGGAGCAGCCTTCTCTCACCCCGTGCCTGCACGCAGAGGCCAGCTGGGAGGGGGGCAGCTGGCCTGTGTCCCCAGCCCACACCAGTGCTTCCATACCGGGCAGCTAAAGGACTTCTGAGCTCCATCCTGAGCTTGGGATCCTACCCTCAGACCCTTCAATTTGAGAGCCTGTGCGTGACCGAAGCACGCTGACACTGGAGGTATCCGACATCAGCGGAGCCGAGAGCCAGGTTTTGTCCCCTCATCCTTGAGCTCAGATGCCGAGTGACAGAAGTGACAATCCCAGCACTTGCGACAGTCACATTTGTCTCCAGATCTGATGTAGCACTGTAATCATGCTGGTTTAAAGACACTTCTGAAGATATAAAGATACGTTTCAAATAAATCAGGAAACACAAGATCAGACCCAAAGAAGGGATTGTGTGCTCAAGAACTTTTTTCTTTTTCCCAAACCTCTTCCCTACAGATTGTGTTCTTCAATGTTGAAGCAATTTTGTTTTATCCGGTTTTCTCCCCTAGGACCAGCTGTGCTGCAATACCTCGGTAAATAATTCATGCTGACAAACCACGCCTTCATCCAGCCTCTGGAGCTCACAGCTGCTGTAGCATTACTTTGACTTTGTTAAGGTTTTAGAGTCTAGAAATGCAAGATATAGTTAATAATTGTAGCAGTATACTGCCTAGAAACACAAGGCGTGGGCTTTGCTCCTGTGCTACACACATGCACACAGGTGGAACCATCCTGGCCAAAACAGGGGGAAATATGTCTGTGACTGCTTCCATCCATCATCTCCAGCAATCCACTCTCCCACCAAGTTTCTGGTCTGGTCCATGGTCAAAACAGACTTTTCCTCAGTGTCATGTTATGCCCCAGAGCACAGC